GAGAAGGGCAAAGAAGAAAAGGGCGAAAAGGGAAAAAAGGGAATAACATTCTGTGATTCTGTGATTCTGGAAAGGGCTGAAACTCTCGTGATCACTCAATTTATTCTAAATATGATGTATATGGGATGCAATGCTCTCGTTGGTCACCTGTCCTGTCTATTTCCCCCCAGAGGTGCAACCTTTTACTTCCTTGTGACCCCTCTCACTACCCGGCACCCCCAGCGTGGCACACAAGAGCCAGCAGTGGCCTTGGGCACTGTAGGAATAAGTATCAGCCAGAGCCTTTCTGCATCCCAGTGCCAGGCAGTAACTGTGAACATCAGGTGTTATCACTGCCAGTAGCACACACTGTCTGCAAAAACATGCTGCTGACTGCAGAAAGTGCAGCCTTTTAGAAGAGACTGAACTGAAAAGTAAAAATCACTAAATAGGACTGGGTTTTAGCTCAAACCCAGGACAGTGGCTCTCGATCAGTTTTGTCAGTTACTGTCCTTGATACCTCTTTCATAGTTTGGTAGTCTTGTTGGTGGCATTTTTTTTCCCAGATGTAATTATGGAGTTTAAAATAAAGAGTAAGGGAAGGAAGTATCTATCTACTTGTCTCTTCAAGTGTTTTAACTGAAATGTACAATATCTCTAGAAAAGTAACTTTGCGAAATCTGTTTGACGATCTTTACCTGAGAAGACTTAAAGAACAACAACAAAAAGGATGTAGTATTCTAAAAATGGCTGAGCTACCATGAAAACTAGAAGCGTGATGGCTGTCTTTCTCCCTGTCCTTCAAAAATTAGTGAAAAAGACAGGTTGTCAGGCTAGTCTGCTTCCTTTTGAATTCCTGAAAAAAAATCTGGAACAAAAGCTATTTGTAAGCATCTAAAATGTAGCAGCTGAATAAATGACAACATCATTTTATCAAGGACAAATTGTTGAAGTAATCTAACCGGTTTCACTGACAGGCCTACTGTATACAAGATGATCAGTTGACGTCTTGTATTTGGTTTTTAACAGGACTTTTTATTCTTAGGATGTTTTTGCTGAGGAAGAAGAGTTGGGAGCAACTACTGTTGTGATTAAAGAGGCCAGTCCCTTGTCAACTACTTCTGATTTTCGCACACAGTTTCCAGAAGAAAATAATGTGATTGTTAAAACTTAAGAAGGCATAAAGCTAAGAGGGAGTGCAGACTTCGTTGAGTGGAAGTCAAAATGCCTTGATGATTCAGAAGCTGAGTAGAGTTTTTTTTTGCCTGTGCTTAAGCAGGAGCAATCAGCTACACAAATGCAGGATAGAGAACAGTGATGTATTTCTTAGGGGGAGACAATTTGGAGGGCACAGTGAGCTCAGCTTGTGATAGGAACATCACACAGGTTATGCTTCTCCATGTGCATTTCAGTAAGGCACAGGAAGCAGTGCTTACCCTCAGTTTAGGCCTTCTCAGGCTGGGATACTGCATGGATTCCAGCCCACTGTAGAAGAAAGTTGGTGAGCTGGGGAGAGTGTTGGGAGAGCGATGAGAAGCCTCCAGAAAGTGTGATGTTAGCCTCACAGGAAAGGATTGAAGCACCAGTTACGTTAGTCTGCAAAATGAGCAGTCTGCTGGTAAAATGCTTTATGACAAACTTTGAACAGAATGTATCTGTCATATAGTCTGATCTATAATTTTTGATTAAAGGGATGTTGGAGTCCACTTTAGTGAGACCAGGGTCCGTTCTTCACAGATATGCTGTATTCTTTTCAGCTCTTCTTTAAGATTATAATATTGGAGTGTCTGTTGTTAAGTTTGGTGCCATATAAAAGCTCGTAAGAAAGTGTGGGGGGTTTCATTCTCTGCTATTTCATTTAGAAACTTGAGTATTTCTGTATCAGGCAGAGTAGTTGATTTGTAATGTAGATGGTCATGGGTGTGGTTGGTGTTGAGGTCGCCAAGGTAAGTTAATACTGTTGATAGTAGGGAGTCTCCACGGAAAGTAAGTGTGAACTGAGTCCTTTATGGTTCTTGCAAAGAGTTATTAACTGGGTTTGGGCTCTAGAGAATTTCATGTCAGAATTTTGAAATGTATGTCTTTCCATTTATACAATTATAAACTTACTGATTTTATCTGAAACAAGGTAAGATAATCCTAAGCCTACACTAGAGCATATCCTTGTCTTTTATTAGTTAAGTTGCACTTCCAGTGCCATTGTTGCATCTTTTGATCTTATTTCTGTTAATCCATAGCTGCCTTACAGAGTATGCCAATAGATAATATTCCCTTCAGAGTGAGGAATTTTATTACTTTTTGTCATTGCTTAATAGGAGCATATTCTATGCAGTTGAAGGTTGCGTAGTAGGAGAGGACTCTTCTGAAACAGTTCATTGATCTCAGGAGAGCATTTGTAAGGAGTTCAGGAACTTCAGCCCGCAGATGCTAGGGAGCTGTGTGCTAGGGAGCAGCGAGAAGTCTGTCTGAATAAAATTCAGAAGCAGAATTATGGGTAAGGAACTTAACTTTCTTTAACTTTCAGCCAGGTTCAGAGGCAAATGCTGCTTCCCACAAGGAGGCATATAGCCTGCAGTCATATATTTTAAGGTCTGTTACAAGCAATCCTAGTATATCAGGTGCCAAATATGTCTGTCCTGTTAGGCAGGATTTTTTCATGGTAAGAGCTCCTTTCAAGCATTGCATTTCTTACCTTGTGGATTTTTTTCCATTTGTGCTATTTGTGTAGAGAGGTAGTTTTGACAGGTTCCTGTTTAAAAAAATTGAACTGTCATTTTGAAAATGTATATACATTATTTCAAAACTGGTCTTACTTCTGGTAAAAATCAGGCCTTTCATTTTGTATTTTGAGATTGAAATAGGAAGCAGGTGAAGAACGGAAAAATGCGATTCCGATAACTGCAAAATATTTTTTTTTAATATTTGAAAGTGAGTTAAGTTGTGCTAAGACACAGTTCCCTCTCAATTTAAGAATATTCAGTACGTTTTTGAGGTCTTTTTGGAAGTTCCCTCATAGTGGTAACTGAATGTAGCATCTTGCACAAAAAACTTTTCGCCTTCTGTTTTGATAGCAGCTTTTTAAGGTGTGACTATAGTAAAAAATGTATAGGTGTGACTAATGGAGGGTATGATGTATAATTTTTTTTTTGTTTACATAGCATAAGGTGTGGGTATAATGAGCACCCAAAGCTATCTATGTCAAGTAGCAGTGCCTTAGTGAAATCTATGTGTAGTAGTTCTTTTAAATATTTTTTGGGTGGAATTTGCTACTATAATATAAATGCAAAAGAGTCTGTTTTCTGAGAAAACAATAACGGCGTCATAGAAGAGAAAGGGATCTGCTTAGAATAAGTGATTGAGAAATAAGTTAGGTGTCTTAGAAGCGTGATTTACGAATGATTGAGCCAAAACGTAGTACAGGAAGATAGTAACAGGATGCTTTGACCTCACAGAAATGCAGATAAAGAAATTCTTTGCAGTGAAGGTGGTCGGATACTGGCACAGGTTGCTGAGAGAGGTGATGGAGGCCACATCCCTGGAGACATTCAGGGTCAGGCTGGATGGGGCTCTGAGCCCAACACATTCTACAAGTCTGTACTAATTTGATAAACGTATTAGATGAAAGGTAGAAGATAGTGTGTGTATCTCTGATAAGAAGCAGGAAGGTAACTTGAGTTACTTTCACAATAGGGGATGATACGTATATAGCTGCTGATACGGAGTAAACACGCTGCTTTTACTATTTGGAAATTAACTGCAAAAGTAGCAAAACTGGAAAAAATCTTCAGATGAAAGTCACAGAGTAATTGTCCTGTGTGTCCACAAGGAAGTACTGGCATCACAAACTTAGGAAGTTTTTAGTGGAAGTAAGAGAGTTTTCAGACTAAATGCTCTCATCCATAACAGTTCTACTTAAGGAGTATAGTAGGAGATTAGTAAAAGAAATAATTCATTTCAAAAAATTATTAAAGGATTTTAAAGTAAATTAAGAAAATTTCAGTAGTAGTGTTTCTTGAAAATCTCTAAAGTTCCAGTGAAAAGTCAAAGCACTGAAAATCTGGCAGTGAGGAAGCCATAGCAAAAACTGTTTCTGTTAAATCAAACCAACTGAAATGATAATCTTGATGGAGAAGCAAGTCAGCCTGACCAAAGTAATAAACCCTTTAATAAAAAAACTAATAAATCATGTGTGACATGCCTATGGTAAAATGATGCTTACTAAGAAGATTAGAAGCAGTTTAATGATCTAGCAAGTCAATGAAATTTTCTCAGGTTTGTGCAGCTCATTGATCCTTTGCATGATAGCATGTCTGTATGAAGGTCTGTGAACTTTCTAGGCACTTCTAGCAGTCCTGACACTGTAACACAAAAATAGCTAGATCCAGAAGGAAAAGCAAAGCAAAAATATATTGTGGCAAGACTGACAAGGAGTTAGTTGAGACCGTAGTTTCTCTGAAGAACAACAGGAGCAGAAAGGTGAATTAGATAGCATCTTGCCTCCTATTACATGAAATTTCAAACCTGAAAGAGGTACATCCCAAGTAGGCTGACATACTTTCCTGTGTTTTTATGCTCTGTTAAGGCTGAATAGTTGCTCGTACTGTTAAATGTTTCCAGAAGCATTTAGTTTAAACATTTAACTCATTGTCCAAATTAGTTGATTTCTTCTAAAAGAAAAAAAAAAAAGAGCAGAATAGATTTTGTTTAGAAATTTTTATGGCGCTTAGGGGTTAGGCTTATAGTCTTACTCAGGAACAGAGGTTTGACTTCTGGATATACTGTGTATCAAGAAGCTGAAGGGGAGTTGTTCTAATAAATTGCTAGAAATGACAAAACAAGAATGACATGGTATTTTGATTTCTGCAGAGGACTGTAGAGCACCTTGCTGAAGATCTTGTTCATCTTCTGATTGGAGTTTTGTCATGTGAAATAAGAAAAGTCTATTAGTATGTTTAAGAACACTTTTCTGCATGAATTTGTTCCAGAGGTTTTAATGTAATTAAATGTCTTTTTGCTTACAGTTCTGATCAGCTTTCTTGAGTGAGCTGTGCTGTGCGGCTAGAGTGGACATTCAATAATGAGTGGTGCAGCGCTGGGCCTTGAGATAGTGTTTGTCTTTTTTCTGGCCTTATTCCTACTACATCGATATGGAGACTTCAAGAAACAACATAGGCTGGTGATCATAGCAACACTATTGGCTTGGTATCTTTGCTTTCTTATTGTATTTATACTGCCTCTGGATGTCAGTACGGTAAGAAACTTGTGATATTTTCTGCTTAGTTGCATAGAATGTGTGTGGTATTTCTTTAAAATCATAATTTCAGAAGACAATATCGTAAACAACAAATAATTTTTCGAAATAGTATCTTATTGAACTAAACACATGTAACCTTTTTCATGACATTGTGTCATGAAATTAGTTTTTTGTTGGTCTCAGAGAACTCTATTTCAGCTCTTTTTCATATGTTTTAAGATTTCATTATTTGTTTATAATATTTTTTAAAAAAATCTGTTTAGGCAACACAAAAATACTTCAAATTTTTTACTTGTCCTGAAGAGTGCATGTTGTTTTGTGGGTTTATTAATAAAATTGCTCCCAAATGTAAACTGTGAGTTCAGGAAATGTCTTTAAAAATGGGACTTATTTACAAAATTAATTGTCTTTTAGACTATTTATAATCGGTGCAAACTTGCTGTTAACTCCAGCCCTGTTGAAAGCAATGGATCCTACGTTACTCTTGCTCCAAGGTATGACCTATATGTTTTCTTCTTTAGACTGTTTTTAAAGAAGTATTTTATGATTTTCTTTTTTTATATTTTTAAGACTAATAAATATTTTCTGTGTGATATGGCATTGTAAGATTTGAAGCCCACAGAAAGGCGTTTTGTTGTTGAAATGGTGGAACTAAGCGTTTCGAGCAATCTTGGTAATCGATGAGGAGAGGTGTTGGTGAAGGCTTATCTTTTCTTCATAATCTTAAAGACTTGAAAATCTAATTTTATACCTCATGAGTGAAATTAGTAAGCTTGTCTTATATGAAACAATATATCTAATTACTATAATTGTGTATATATAGTAATTGTAATTACCTGAAATTTACAGTGTTCTACCAATGTATCAAGAGCCTGCTTGCTGTCTTCTGGCAGGGAGGAAATAATCTCTAAAACCGTGGTGAATGTAGGCTCTTTCTGTGGCTGCTCATTTTTGAGCCTCCTTTGGCTATTTCCACCTCTTGTAGATGTGTAATGTCGTTACCTGTAAGATGACTAGAGCATTTGTCAGTTGATGGGTCCATGCAAAGTATTGCCAGTTTTGTTGCCCTAAAGTAGAGGCTATTTGAAGGTCATATATCCATGGAGGAAGAGTAAAATGCTAGACTTACTGACATGTTAATTAAACATCGTTAACTAAATAAGCAATTTGAAAACTATTCTGTAGCCTTTACTTATAGTTTCAGAATGTGCTGATGGATGTTATGCTATATTATATGAGTTGTGTATATCAAACAGAAATACCACCTTAAGTAGTAATTGAGCAGCTGCTGTGTTGGTGCAGTTCAGATCTTAAAACTTACTTTGAAACCTTTAGTCACGCAACCTGTTATTCTTTGGTAGTTTGTTAGTTTTGAAAATACTTAGGCTGAGTCCATAAAAACTCACAACTCAGGCTTAACTGGTTTGACCCTGGAAAACACCAATTATTTCTCAATAGAAACTCCTATTAAATTGACTGTCTTGCCCCTTGACTCACCGTTGCTTCATTAGCTAGACACGTGTGGAAATAAAAAATCAAAGCGTCTTAGTGTGGATGGGCACTTTGTCTTTTTCTCTTGTTTTACTAAAAAGGCTCTCATGGCTTTTCTGGTCTTCTGGAGCAAGCAGAAAAGTATTGACTCAACAAATCAAATTTATTTAAGTCTGACTAAATCAAGCTCAGTGACAGAAGAAACTACGAATACAGTTTTTTTAGCGGAAAGTGCTCTAGGTAGTAGAGCTAGGTCATGCAGTCCCTAGATATTTTTGAAAACCTGCTGCAAAAACAAAAGTTGAATGGTATTCTGTCCGCAGAAATACTGTCTTTTCCATGAAGAAAATACTTTCTGCCTCCAATGAGAAGTTATAACCTTTAATTTTTTGTTTCTCTTTAGTCTTTGAGCTGCTTTCTCTAAGAAAGTGGCCTTGTCCATGTATGTTATTTGTGGTGAGGAGAATGGTAAATATTTTTAAGAGGTAATTTATTTTATTCTTTGATGGCTGATGGTTGACTATATACTCAAATACTAGTGTATTACTTGTGTGCTATTTTTCAAAGACCTTTCTAGATAGGGGAATTTGTAGAATATATTTTTTTATACTTTTGATCCTACAACGAACAGTAAGCTTCTTTACATTGTTACAGCAAGCAAAAATGCTTCAAACCATGGAGTTATATTCCTGATGGAATTATGCCCATTTTCTGGCGTGTTGTGTATTGGACATCACAGTTTTTAACATGGTAAGTGAGACAAAAGAATATAACAAAGACTTTAATGTAATTTCTAAATGCAACATCTTAACAATCCTAGAGTACTCTTTAAATATATATATATATCACTATTCTGCAGATCTTGCTAAACATATTATTTGCTAGCAGTGAAATTTTCCAATAATTACGTACTAAAGTAAGCATACTTTTTTTAGCTCTTTTTCGGGTGACAGCCATTTCCTCTTGATTCACATCTAGAATACAAACATATAACTAGCTAATTTTTTAGAAGCTTGGGAGTCTTTAGCTTAAACATCTTAAATACCTGTCTCAGTATACTGCCACTGCTTGAAATACTTAATTTTTTTGGTTGTCTGATGTGGTTTCATTTTATTTGCTTTCCTCCTAGGATTCTGCTACCTTTCATGCAGTCCTATGCTAGATCTGGAGGGTTCTCCATTACTGGAAAGATTAAAACGGCACTGATTGAGAATGCAATCTATTATGGCACTTACTTGCTGATTTTTGGAGCATTTTTAATATATGTGGCTGTAAACCCAAACTTCAATTTACAATGGTAAGCACTTGCATGAGTTCTTAGAAGGTTGTTGTAGATAATCTCTTCTGTAGATGAAAGGAGTCTTCTTTAAAAAACGATGTTAGTTGGTCTGATTTTTGGTACATAGTTGGAAAATTTTGTTAATTTTTCCTGGAAAGGAATTCTTTGAACCTTTATAGAAATCTCTCTTTTGTTTTTTCTGATACTGATATGCATGTCAGAGGAATCCTATTTGCAACGTTTGGATTTTTTTCTTCCCTACAAACGCATCTGCAAAACTAGTGCAGAAATTTTCTCAGTGTTTTCAGAATAACATCTTTCAAAAGGCCTTGACAATATTTCCTGTGTAGCGCTTCTGTCTACTGTAGATTGTAATTAGAAGTTATAAGGTAAGTTGAAGTAATTGGTATTTACAGCATTGTCAGTGCTCTTCCATCCTAGATACAGGAGTAAGCACTCTAACACCTAGTTGCTTTCAACTTCCACTTCTGAATACAAATCCTGGCTTCTGAGGCTGTTTCTTAGTGTGACTGCCTATTACAGTGTTTTGACCTCACTTTCAGTAAGTTTGCTAAGTTCGTGTTTCCCAGATGAATGTCCTCCTTTGAGAACAGACATTTTTGTCTTCGCTCCAGAAGGAGAAGAAACATGGGAGTTAGAGAAAAATAGTGCCAGCTTTAAGTATGGTCAAGATGGTACTAAGTCTCTTCCTGTAAACTTGAAAGCCATGTTGATGCATAAATACTTCCAAGGCTGCTTTCCTGTGGGTGGGGTTCAAGGATGTTATTTGTTTGGTTTTTCTTCCTTGCTTTTGCTGCTGTTTGGTTGTTGTTTTTTTTCCCTCCTTAGGAACCAACTTCAGACTATTGGGATAGCTGCTGCAAATACATGGGGTCTCTTTCTTCTGGTGTTGCTTTTGGGTTATGGTTTGGTTGAAATTCCCCGTTCTCACTGGAATGGGGCCAAGAGGGGTTATCTACTCATGAAGACCTATTTCAAAGCTGCCAAGCTGATGACTGAAAAAGCAGATGCAGAGGAGAATTTAGAGGATATTATGGAGGTAACTAACTAGCTTTCACTAAAAAATGAGTGAAATAAGTGTTAGTCATTTCTGTATTGCCTGATGTGGGGTAGTTGTGGCAAGAGAAACATGAGTAGCGTGAACTTACTGTGGAATATCAGTAAATTAAGAAAATCGTCATAGTGTGCCACTTTGACATGCAATCCTGTGTAAAAATCAAAAGAGAAATTGTCCCTGATATGAAGAATTTGGCAACCCAGTAACCATCATTAGTTATTTTTATTACTTTAAGGACTGTTTTGATGTAACATTGGTCACTAGTGAATAACATTCCAGAGTGAACTTGAAAATACAGTGTACATGTGTTTTGTTAATCTTCATGTAAATTGTGTATGACTGCTTTTTTGCTAATGTCCTGGTCTGAGCTAAACAGAACCAATTCCATTCAGTCATTTTACTTTTCAGCTCAGCCTTTTATAAGAGGCTGCACTCTCTGAAGTTAGCAGCACGTTTTTGCAGGCTGTGTCGGCTACTAGAAGTGATAACGCTGGGTCCTGCACTTCAGCCACAACAGCCCCCAGCAGCGCTACAGGCTGAGGAGGAGTGGCTGGAGAGCTGCCAGGCAGAGAGGGACCTGGGGGTGTTGATGGGCAGCAGCTGAACATGAGCCAGCAGTGTGCCCAGGGGGCCAAGAAGGCCAACGGCATCCTGGCCTGTGTCAGGAATGATGCTGTCAGCAGGAGCAGGGAGGTGATCGTGCCCCTGTACTCAGCTTTGGCGAGGCCCCACCTCGAGTACTGTGTCCAGTTTTGGGCCCCTCACTACAAGAGGGACACTGAGGTGCTGCAGAGGGTACAGAGGCAGGCTACCAAGCTGGTAAAAGATTTGGAGCTTATGTTATAGGAGGAACAGCTGAGGGATCTGGGGCTGTTTAGCCTGCAGAAGAGGAGACTGAGGGGAGACGTTTTTGCTTTCTACAACTACTTGAAAGGAGGCTGTTACGAGGTGGGGGTTGGTCTTTTCTCCCTAGTGGCGAGTGATAGGACAAGGGAAGATGGCCTTAAGTTGTGCCAGGGAAGGTTCAGGGTCGATGTTAGGAAGAATTTCTTTACTGAGAGGGTTGTCAGGCACTGGAACAGGCTGCCCAGGGAGGTGGCTGAGTCGCCATCCCTGGAGGTGTTGAAGAGAAGGGCAGATGTTGTACTGAGGGACATGGTTTAGTGGTGTTGATAGGAGTAGGACAAAGGTTGGACTGCTGGATATTGTGTGTTGCGCTGGAGGTACCAGGAAGAGAAAGGAGTCATAGGAAAGTGAAGGGTTGCACCTCGTGGGAGAAACAGCCAAAACAGCTGACCAGCGGTAGTGTTCTATTCCATTTATGTGAAGGATCACAGGGGTTAAGCTCTCTTCTTCAGTGGCCAGCATCCATGTAGGACTCAGTCTGTTCTTCCGCCTTAAATCCTGATCTCGAGTTCCCAAAATCCAGCTCCCATTTTTGATTCCCCTCTGCCTCTGAGCTTGGGACTCCCTCCGTGCCTGAATCCATCAGCATGGACAGCTTGGGGAGGGGGATGTTGATCTCTCTAGGATCCAGTTACAGAATGCGTGGAAATGGCTCAAAGCTACACTGGGGTAGGTTAGGCTGGACATTAGGAAGAATTTCTTTGTCGAGAGGGTGGTCACACACTGGAAGAGGCTTCCGAGAGAGGTGATTGATGCCCCAAGCCTGTCAGTTTTAAGAGGCAATGCCCTTAATTACCTGCTTTAACTTTTGATAAGCCTTGAAGTAGTAGAGCAGTTGGACTAGATATCATTGTAGTTCCCTTCCAACTGAAAATGCTCTATTCTGCTCCGTTCTCTACCCTTAAACACAGCATACCTTGTGCCTTAAAGGCTCTTCTATGGTTTAAAAGCCAAAAATTTTGGCAGAGGCACCTGTTCTGGAGCCAGGTATTGCTACCGTGGGCTTGCTTGTTTCTTCCAAAGTCTCCCCCAATTACTGAGAGGACTGAGGAAAACACTACACATGCTCCTGAATTTTTTTAGCATTCATCCCAGGACTCTGGAATCTCTTTTAATTGACCTTGGACTTTCTGTTTCGACATCATTAGTATCCATGTGAAAGAGCGGGGATGGGTAGGAGTCTGAAGGATTGTAGTAAGTTCTTCAGTCTCGTGGTGACATCCCTAGTTTGGGCCGCAGGGAGGCAGCAAACCTCTGTGGAAACAGGGTCTTGGATTAGACTGCAGTCTTGTGTTAGGTTGTCCTTGATGTAAGGTATGCTGGCTGACAGATACTGAGGTTATGTCGTACACAACAAAATATACTGTATTGCTAATGCATGATAAAATCTTAAAGGTTTGGCACTTCACTTCTCTCCCCTACCCCCCTTTTTTTTGCCAGTCTAGAAACAAATGCACTACACATGAGAAATCTTCACCAATATTTAATTTTTCACCTTCACAGGAACACTGAAGTGTGTGAAAAATACTTAACAATTCTTAATAATGCCAGTGCTGAGAACGTGTTTGTAAATAGTATGAATTGCTGCTGTGTCAAAATTTTAGCTTTCACCACTTTGTTTTAATCTTTAGTTTTCTTCCTTTATCAGAGATTGTGAATACAGAAGAAAATGTACTAGAGGATACCTCTCAAAATTTTTTTTTCCAGTCTAGTGCTGTATTTGGCAGGGCTGAGTGTTAGGATTGACCCTTACAGATATTCTTGGAGGATTCTGTTAGTTTTTCATAATACTAATACATAATGAAAAATTCTTTGCCACAGGCTAATCAGAGCTATTGAGAGCTCTGGGGATTCAGAGGGAATCCAGAATTATGACAGTCATTTGTTGGAACCACCTTCTGTGTATCAGAGGGCTGTGTATATCTGTTTGGCCTCCTGTGTCACACTGTGGAAATACGATGCTTCTATTTGCCAAATCATCCAATTTGATAAAATTTCTAAGGCTTCACAATTATTTCTGTCCTCCAAAGTCTAGAATTTAAATATATTTTTAAAAAATACTGTTTGTAACAACAAAAAGGCAGCAAAATATTATCTCTGGATTGCCGGTAGAATAAAGAATAGAATCTAGTTCTCACTAAGCCTGGTAAACTCCTAGAGACAGTTCTGCCACAAGTTATCTAGCTGTTAGGTAGCTTCTTTTTGTTACTGGTAAATGCCAAATTGTCTCAGAAGTGAGCTGTGTGGAGATAAATGTAAGGAAGATGTAAAATGAAGTAAAGTTGTATTAATCAAGCTACTTAAAATAATAAATAAATCGAGTAAGTTAGGAACTAATTTTTACTTACAACTAAAGCAAGAGAGTATTTTCCATTTGAACTTTTATGCATAGAAACTAATCCTCGAGAAATGCACAGAGTTATGTTTTCACAGTAGCATGGTGAGTTCTTAAAAAAATACATATATGTTCTCTACAAATACCCCTTCAGTTATTTTTTATTAGAAGTCTGGTAAGCTGTGGCTTTTAGGAAGTTCTATAGGTTTTAAGCTCTGATAGTTATCTTTTCCGCTGGGAGTGCAGTTGGAACTCATATCTGACCCTGAAAATTTTAAAATCTGTTTTAACATAGTAAAACAGGTCTGTATTTTTTTCCTCAACAGGAAGTCCGTAAAGTAAGTGAGAGTATCAAGTATAACCACCCTTTGAGAAAGTGCGTTGATACAATACTAAAGAAGGTAACAAATTGCGTATCTTCAGCCTTAATCATTCAGTTGGGAGGGGTCTTCCTGTACCTGCAGAATACTTATACATTATTTTCTTTCCCCCTTAACATAAAATCTCTAATTGACATCTTGTGAGTTTCTGACCAGACTTTGAGTTGAAATTCTTTGTGGAATGTTTTCTTATGATGTATGTAATTATCTGTGGTATTCTGACATATGTAGTAGTTTAGAAACAGAAAAAAATCTATGTTTAGAGTCAGCTATTCAGTTGAGTGAAACGCCCCAAACATTTACCAACAATTAACAAAGAGCACTTGGTACTCCTTCATCTTTCAGTTAATTTTCTCTTGTCCTTCTAGTGCCCTACTGAGTACCAGGAAAGAATGGGTAGGAACATGGACGATTATGAAGATTTTGATGAAAGACAGAACAGTTATCCAAGTGAAAAAAGTTTGGTTAAACTTCACAAGCAGGTATGTTAATAAATGAGAGAATGCCTCACTTAAAATAATGTAATGAGAATAAACACTAGTCAAAAAAATATTTGCAATGCACTTTACCTGAATTGCTGAGTGTACTGGGTTTGGGGATTGCTGCTTAAGAGAAACTTTTCTCAGTGAAAGAAAGTAGAGAAGTTTTAATATCCCAAGTGATGTCCAGATGAAATTTTTGGGTGTGTGAAAAGCGTTCTTGTTGCAATATATCTTGACAGTGTTTTAACTGTCTGTGAGTAAGCCTTGTAATTATCAGTGCATTCTAGAAGAAATTGTAGTAAAAGCTTGGTATTCCCTAAGATGCAAAAATAAAGTGGTATTGTAAAAATTAGGCTGTTATTGCTACAGATAGATTGCGTGAATTGTGTATGTAGTCCTTTTATGGCTTACATATTTACAGAATTAACTGACTGCTTTTGTGAGGGCACAAAATTAATCTTGCATTTCTGTAGTTTAGACGTTTTTGAGGGATTTTACAAGGCTTTTTCTCTCGTACATAAAACAAGTATGTTGTAACCATAATTTTTTGGACTTTATTGTAGGTAATCTATTCAGTACAGAGACATTGTCGTGCACAGGTCCAGTGGCAAATTCTTTTAGAACAAGCATTTTACCTAGAAGATGTTGCAAAAAATGAAACAAGTGCAACTCGACAGTTTGTTCATACATTTCATTCCCAGGAACCAGAAAATAAAATTATTCAGTATTTCTACACACCAACTGTTGGTAAGTGCTGTCACACAGATTTTTGAATATGTGAAGGAGTAACTGGTACCATTTTGAAAGAAGAACCAGTTGTTTTATGTAAAAAGTTCAGTTGCAGTAGAGGGAAGCAAATGTGCATCTTAATGGATATATGTAATGAAAGAGCCATCAGGTATTGATTTATGCTCTTGACTGTAAGCTTAATGTTTTTTACAAATTTAATAGCAGTTACATGTTTTAGTAGCAATAGCAAACTCTGAAGCCTTAGAAGAATAAAGAAAAGGATCAACTTTAAATTGTTGAATCATGGCTACCCTCTGCATTTGTGGCATATTATTGAGGTGACACTGCTCTTCTAGTAAAGCAAAGAGTAAAAGACTCTGTCTGTCATGTACCAAACATTAGGAGATGCTTGTGCATCTTTTCAGAAAGTGTCTTCTCCTAATCATATTTTAACTTCTAACTTGGTAGGACAATATAATTTTACAGCTTAAGCTCTGTTTCTGAGAGAGTGAGAGATGGACTGACAAAAAGTGGATCACTCATAGCATCTGGGCCAAAATTAGAGTTCTGTTCCACATGCCCCACACACCAGGACCAGTTTGTCTGGGAGACAGATCCCACCCTGTTTTTCCCCAGTTGTGCAAATGATTCCTTAGGACGAAGCCAGATCTCTAGGTGTTAGAAAAAGCTCTGAAATTGAGTGTGTGACCTCACAAGTTCCAGCCTTGGTTTTAAGTGTGTGCATGCAAGAAGTTCATAACAGTTTTTGTGAGGGAGCTCCATTTTGGGTTCTGTGTAATTTTCATTAATCCATTCTGGATATGTATGTGTTTCTTTTTTTCAGAGTGGTACTGGGAATGTCTTCTACGACCGTGGTTTTACAGGGTGCTTGCAGTTATGTTGGCCACATTCTCTGTAGTTGTTGTGTGGTCAGAGTGCACATTTTTCAGCACAAAACCAGTTCTGTCGCTATTTGCAGTTTTCATACAGCTGGCAGAAAAGACATATAATTATATATACATAGAGGTAAGTTTAAGATAGTCACTCAACAAAAATCTTTTCAGATAGATTGTTATTACAACAATAATAGAGAAGATTGATTTTAAAATAAATCTCTAATCTGTTGACTTTCTGAAGGTCTCTAAAATACATTATACCAGACTTTGTGGAGGGAGTCTGCCTTTTGCCACTTTTTAGAACTCTCCGATACAGGGTGAAAATGTTACCCAATTGAACAGAATATCATTTGTAGAGTAATTTGTGAAACATTAGCATGAAGTTTAAGTGTTTAGACTTTGTGTCTGTCACCCACATGTGTGACCTCTCCGAAACAGGAATTTGCTGCTAACCAGAAATCCAGTCACATGTGTGATTAGTATAGACATGCACTAATTTATCAGTAAGGGAATTGAGCTGGAAAGTTCCAGTATGCTAACAAAACAGATTGAATTGAAAACACTTGTTTTGTGGGAAGAAAAGTGAAATCAGTCATAGCAATTATCAGGGCAATTACAGCAACTTCATTTACGTTACAAAGGTAGAATAAATGATCTTAGGGTCAATTGTGTTAGCTTATATGAAGTGCTGAATGTCAATCTCAGTTTAAATTAGTTGAAAAACCCTCCTAAAGCTCTTGTCAGAGCTGGTGTTATTGTCACATCTCAAAATGAAAAACAGACTGCAGTTAACCTGTTGCACGCGCAGACTATGTGCTGAATGCATTAAAACCTTCAGTAGAGTCTACAGTCAGACAACTTTTTGTTTTTCCCCCAGATGGCCTGTTTTCTTACCATCTTTTTCCTAAGTATCTGTGTTTACTCTACTGTCTTCAGGATACGTGTATTTAACTACTATTACTTAGCTTCACATCATCAGACAGATGCATACAGTCTGCTTTTCAGCGGCATGTGAGTATGTGGCTTATATTTTGCAGATTTGCTGTTGAATACTCAATTGACAATGTCCATGAAACTTTCATTTATATGTTTTCATTTATAATCATATTGATATAAATCCTAAGAAGCGGTACATCATAATTGTGTGATATATCCCGTTATGATTTCTTGCTATTTTTGATGCAAGAAATTGTTTAAAATGCTATTGCCACTCGCATTTGTGCAGGTTGTTTTGCCGCCTTACTCCACCATTATGCTTGAACTTCTTGGGACTGACCCATATGGATGCAACGATCTCTCACAGAAACACTCAGCCAACCGCTTATACATCTGTAAGTACAGAAGATGTGGTTTTGAGGCTTCTGTATGATTTTGGAGAACAGACAAAATATATTTAAATATTTCTTATAGTAAGATTCAGATATTCAAATCTTTTCATCAGTAGTAAACAGAGGGAAATTCTTACAGACCACGAGTTTGGTACTGATTGCTGGGAGTCATCAGTAGCTCAAATTTCCTGGTTTTGTCTCTTTATCCTAAGAAAGTAGATCGTACTTAAGTGTCGTGAGCGTTCTTCGCTTCCTGATAGCTTTAGTTTCCACTGGCTTTAGCATATGGGATGTCCTTTTAGATATAGAGCAAACTTGACAGTGGAAACCAGTGAGTTTGGTTTTACTGAACACCCAGTTTTTGTAGGACAGCATGCTACATCTCATTTTCATTGTTAGCAAGTCAGTTGTTAGTGTTGTCCAGAGACACCTTTCACAGCAGATTAAAAGATCCACTAGATCTGAAGTGAGTCCAGGTTAGGTGAGACAACAAGATCTAGACACCACAAAGTGAACACACTCTTAGAGGCAACAATTATATCTGGATCAGCTGAATCAGATGTCTCACTAACTGTAAAGGATTGTGTGTCGTGTGTTGCACACTGAAAACAGTGAGGTGGCACAATCTTTATGGATATATGTAGAATCTATTTGATTGGAGCTTGTTCTTGTGGACTTCTTTTTCAGATAATGGGATCCATGAAAGTGCTATCCTTCATTGCAGATGGGTTCTATATATATTACCCAATGCTTGTTGTCATTCTTTGTATTGCCACATACTTTAGGTAGGTGATTTTAAAGACAGATCATCTATGTTTCTTTACATTAATAATATTAATTTCAGGATTCAGAAAGAGATTCAATTCCTTTCCAGAAGTTAAGTTGTGACATATTAATATATTCTTCTCTTGCCTTTTGTATTCTTGCTTTTTTACGTGAATTATCCATAAATTTCTGAATAATTTGTTTTACATTTTTTGTTGTAGTATATCCAAACTGTTCATTGTAAAATAACAAAAGAAATTGCTTCTTCTTCTCCTTTTATCAGTTTAGGAACTCGTTGTTTGAATCTTTTGGGATTCCAGCAGTTCATGGGGGATAGCGAAATGACCTCTGATTTGATTGATGAAGGAAAAGAGCTAATCAGAATAGGTAAGTTAGATCCTCTATCCTAGTCTTCCTACAAAATATAATATGTTCCTGCATTAAACTTGCCTGAAATGGTGCACACACAAAAAAACCCCATATAGTTTGTCAATGTTTTGAAAACTGTACTGAGGCAGCCTACTGCACAAAATGCAATAGACTTACAGCATTGTGGGTGCTGTGTAGCTAGTGCTGGACTTCATTGACATCTCAAATGAAGTGTCAGTTTTATTCTTCCAGTATCTGAATTTCAGATACTTCTGAATATTTTTCAGTTCATTTAAGTGCTCCTCTGAAGTCATTACTGATCTAATACCTGAGCAGATGCTTGTGTAATCTGTCATGAAGTATAAGTCACACTTGAATTGTCTTTATCATCAGCAAACTCATTTTAATCTTCTTTTGTGTGAGTATTCTGACTGAGCTGCCCAAGTTCCATCGTTTCCTGTAGGACTTTTTACTGTTTCAGCTCACTGCATCGTGTCACAGAAAGCATATTGTTCTGTAGAGCTGTTCTGGACAGCTTTTTGGCTTTTTAATGTTAATTTCTGTTGAAAGTGTTTCTTGGAAGTTGTTAAAAGCTGTTATCATTCTTGAGTACATGTTAAGAAATCAAATAATCTGGATACAATACTATATTATGGAATATTTTTATTTTCCTTTCCTAGTTTATGGAAGACAAAATATAGATTTACTTAGATTAGTAGGTTGTTTGGGGTTTTTGTTTCAGTTTGGATTTTTGGGTTTTTTTGTGGTTTTGGGATTTTCTTTTGTGTTTTTTTTTTTTTCAGAGACAAGGATGTCTGTCCTTTCCTTAAGAGATTACTATTTCTTTGATACTGTGATGTTGCACTTACAGCTTAATAGTGGTTAATTGCAGGACACAAAATATTGAGGTCATGCTTTGGGCCTCACAGAACTTCAGCAAGATCTTAATTCAGTCATGTTCAAGTTTCTTCTTAATGTTGTACTTTTTCCAGCTATTTGTAAGAGGATATTTTTGTTTTGCTAGCTAGTATCCAAATGTTACCCTTTGACACCAGATGAATCAAGAGGAATTAATTTTAATGAGACACTCCATGATAGACAAACAGCTTTGCCTTTTGGCATTTTCATTGTTGTTTTTTTTAAAAAAACCCCACACTGGTAATGACTTTTCGTGTGTGGAACTCAGATAAATATTTTTTATTTATAGAGAAAAGAAAACGACAAAGACAGGAAGAAGGGGAAAACAGAAGAAGGGTAAGATACTGTTTTAGCTAATTACAATATTAATATACTACAATATCTCATAGGATTTGCCATTGCTATTTAATTCAGCATGACTTCATAAAAAAAATAAGTCCCCAATAATTGATGGAATCTGTTTAATCTTGCAGAATATTCTTGGCTGGGAGGGAGAAAAATAATTGACATTTTTGAGGATAAGAAGATGACTGTGGTTACAATACCTAGACACTTCTATTACTCAGTGTCCTGTGAGCGTGCGCCAATAGGTATAACAAGCATTAGAAAGAGTCCTGATTTCTTGAATGCAAAATAACCTGAAATGGCTTATTATCAGTCTCTTACATTGATACGGCTCTGCTCGAAATACCTGAGTGTCGTCATGCTCACTGAAAGGAGGACTACATCCTCCTCCCAAACTTGCCTGTTGCTTTGTCTGCTTATTGGAAAGTAAATGGCACAGATTTTGATTTTTATTCTTAAGAGGAGGGAGTTACATTTAAAACAGAATTAAGGCTGTTGCCACTAAATAATGAACAGAATGTTTGACTCAAATCCTGCTTTGAGCACAGATCGTACTTAGAGTGCATACTGAATTGGAAGGTCTGTGAAGGCAGTCAGTCCAAATAAGAAGTAGTACAGGCAGCTTCATTTTAAGGACCTCCAGCGAACTACAGCTTTAGTTTTGAATTAATTTATAATGATTGGAATTTAATACTGAAAGTCACAATAAAAGACACATCAGAAGGATGCATGCAAAAAAATGAACTGACTAAAGGGAAAAATATCTGCAGAAATGCAAGTTAATGCTGTGACTAACACTTCTTGGGTTTTCAAGCCCAGAGATGCTTTAATTTTGGATGACAGCCAATACTGCATAGACCTTTTGTCTGATCTTCTCCCCCCATCTTGTAATTTTAGACCTTCAGCTTATTGTGAAACAAAATAGTAGCAGTGAAATGATCTGACATTAAGCAACAATTCTGGTTCACGAGCAGACTTGTTTTCACATGTTACCTGTTTTTTTTTAGTTTGCATTAAGTACTGCAGCATATCTTTGAAACTTTGGGGCTTTTGAAAGTATTATCTCTCCTACATCATGATTAAATGTTTGATTCTTCTACAGCTTGGAACTGCAACATGTGGCAAAAATTAGCACAATAACTTTGAGTATACCAGTTCTTACCAGTCCGTAATCATAGAGTGATAGAATCATAGAGCAATTCAGGTTGGAAAACTGAGATCTAGGTATGAACCTGGAACATTTTAAAGTTATTGGAGCAATTGGAAGAATTTCTGTTGAGACATGAATTTGTCTCCTTCATATTAAAATATATAGATAGTAAAATGGGATGGAAACTCAGCAACAAGCTTGGTAAAACATGGCTATATGCATCTGGTTATTTTTCCACTCTAACACTAGGTGGAGGTAGAAATCAAAAAATTGGCGTTTCCGCCATAGCTTTGTGCAGTTGAGTGAACTACACGGGCAAATTTAATACATAGTTTGTTTTCTTCAAGTTTTTTTTTTTTTTCCTCAGGAACAGTTATGGTAACTGGTTTAGTGAGGGGATGTATCTTGAGTTTAAAATAAAATAAAAATTCTTCCTGCCTCAGGATACTGAATAGGAACATTTTCAAAGTATTACTTTCGTAGTCTGATGTGGTTGAGCGGTAGTTCTGAGATGTCTGTCTGGAATGTTTCTTGATCCTACATATGCTTTTGTGGTGTTGCTTTTTCCTCACAGGTTATGTTTTCACTTTTTATGTTTTTTCCCAGGAATGGAAGGAGCGATATGGAAATAGAGAAAGTTCCACTAGAAACAGGGTTGTCCACACAGACCAAAAAGAATCCAGCTTCTCAGAGACCAGTACCAACAGACGTAAGCTCTCTGGGTCTTGGGGGAGAGTTTTTGTTTTGGGGGGTTTTTTTAATTCCTTGTCTTCACAACGCTGGCTGTGCAAGTCGCTTCAAATATATTATTTTTGTCTTAAATGATGTGCTGATGTATTACCTTCTGTGGCACAGTGTTATCTTGCCCATTAAAGACACCTGAAAAGTGCTGTGTATCTTCTCATCCTCAACACTTCAGAAAGCTGAGGTTGGAGACCCTGACTAGTCTCAATTACTTGGTCTTCTTATGGGACATATGACTGCAATTAAAGTAGCAGCCTTCATTTAGGATATGTCTCGAAGTTGGGAGTTTTAAATCTTGAAATTTACTTCTTGTAGTTGCAAATGGACTTTCTCAGACTGGAATAATACCATAATCAGATAGATGACCAACCAGTCTGAAGGCACATGAGTGTATACATGTTCATTTAATAACTTCCGTTAGCCAAAAAACTTCTGTGGATGCTCTAAACTTCAAAAAAGTATATTTGTCACAGTGTTAATATTGGGGGGGCATTATATATTTTAAGCTAACAAGTTAGAAATGAAACTGAAGAAAGAATGAAGAAGGAGAAGGAAGAGGGAAGTTTTGAACATTCTTTTGAGACAACAATTACTTCATTAATTCATGAGAATACCTCTTTTAAAACTAACAAAACCCAACTAAAAACCCTCCAGCTAGCTTAATTAAAGTAGGAGTTTGGAAAGATGAATGAATGGTTGATTGATTGTTTTATTTAAATATAAAGTTTACATTCTTCTAATTTTCTTTGATTCTTGCCACAGTAGAATTCATCCTACTGGGGTGGGGCAAAAGAAAAATTGTAGTTACGTTACAATGGAGATGCAAAAATGAAATATTTCAAATTTGAGCATGTAGTCGTATTTGGTTTAATATTGAATCCACTCTAAATCATCACACTTTTGGTGAGATGTAGTAACTAACTATTCTGGTCTTTTAAGTTTGCTATCTCCATACGCTCCACAGTGTTCATAGAACAAAAACATGTCTTTCCTTCCTTTTATCTGTTCAGCGCTGTCGAAGTATACCCGATCAAATGGTAGGACTGAAAGAGATAGAATAGAACTCCTCCAGGATGCAGAACCTTTGGATTTTAATGCAGACTCGATTAGCGATGACCCTCTTGAATCGGACTCAGGAAGGTGAGGAATTTTCTGTGTTATTTACAATTAAAATGTACTAATGGCTTCTGTCTTCTGTGACCTATAACAGCTATATCAGATGGTTTCATAATAACAGTTTAGTAAACAGAATTTTTCATCTAATCAAACTCTTTTCCGTTCTTCTCCTCCATGAGATGGGAATTGTTTTAAAACCAATTGAAACTTGAAGGCTGTTTTTTTTTTAGAAATGTCTGAGTAAGGTTTGAGTTGAATATAATTCTATATACTAGCATAATCTGAAAAATGCTGCATATAAAACCAAAAAACTGAAGAATGTTCTGCATATGTACAATATAATGTACTTCAGAGAGCTCACTTGATTTCCCTGAACGAAAACTGTCATAAAGGTCTGCAAGAAAGAAAACAGTATTGCAGAACTGAGTGTTGCAGGAATAGCCCTGATGATCAGATCTTGGAACTCCTGGAGTAAATGAAAATCTGAATTTACTGAACAAAAAGTCACACAGTATAGCTCTATCTGTAGTAGAGAATTAAGTGATTCTTTGGGTCTGACTGCAACACCAAGTTACCTTAATAATGAAAGAGACTGTCTTATATGACTGCTAGACCTTGCTCACATTTAAGAAACAAGTAATACATTTTATGGGTGCTTTTTTATCTAGGTAGTTATATTGTAGAACCATTTAATGACAAATAATTTTAAATACCCATGCAAAAAGTTACAGTTTAATTATTTTTCAGCTAAAACATCATATAAAAATAATATATAAATATATAAAAAATTATAAATGGTTT